TAAAAATGAAATTTTATTTTTAATATACATGTCATTTAAAAGTAATCGGAGGGAGTATAAGATTAAGCACCAGCAACCACACTATTTATAGAAGATGCAAATAAATTTCTCATAAGCAATTATGTTACGACGAGAAAGAGGCAACCCGTAATGATCACAAGAAAATAATCAAGTTGGTCGCACAAATAATCATATCATTCTCGACCAAATTGGCAGCACTAATTTACCTATGTATAGGGAAATTGGGTGGCTCCCCCCCCCCCCCCCCTCTTCATTATGAAGATTGAGATAAGAAGACTCTTTGTTGATGCATATATGCTGCTTCTCCACTTTCTAGCTACATTGGAAGAAAAGAAATTCACGCCCCATATACACTGATGTATATATTTTAGGTGATAGTTTAACTTTTCAGAACAAGCAGGTAGGGGTGTTCAAATCGAACCGAAAAATTGCACCAAACCGAAAAACCAAACCAAATCGATTAAAAAACCCGACTAGGTTTGGTTTGACTTGGTTTGGTATTGAGTAAAAAAATCCGAACCAAACCGACATATAAATATAAAAATTTTATTTATATTTTTAAGACTTTATAGTGAATTTTCTTTAGAAAATGTTGAAATATTTGGAATCCTCTCATGTATTAACCTTGAAAGCGTAAATTAACGATAAATTATTGTTAGACGACTAAGAAAATAACTATCATGTGTTACTAAAAAAATTCTCCCATAAAAATATTTTAATAGATCATATGTTTGTCAATTTTTTTCCATATTTATTAAACATATATTCACTTATCAAAGTTTTATCTATAATTTTAACAAAGTAAGATTGAAATAATATTCATGTAACAAAAAAACCCAAAAACCCGAAAAACCCGACAAAACCGAACCAATCCAAACCGATATTGTTGATTTGGTTTGGTTTTGATAAAATCCGAACCAACCCGGTCCATGTACGCCCCTACAAGCAGGTAATGTAAACAGATTGATAGATTTCAAAAGGCATATACAACGACAACATTTATACTTGTCAGTATAGACACGCAAACTAAAGCATGTTTCAATTGACCACTTAAACACATGATAAAATGTTCCTATTAGACATTTAAGCTACAGACTTTCTAATAATAGCATTTTCAAGCATCATACCAAGCTCAAATAGAAATGAGGAGTATCTTAATTCTTTAGATCTGGACAATGGATAGCAGGGTATGAATAAGATCAAGATGCTGTTTAGGGTGTTGATCGATAAAGAGCAAAAAGGTAAGGTACACAAAACTAAACCAAAGAGTGGCCAAATATAAGGCTGGGGTCTAGGGGGGGGGGGGTTTGTTTGGGCTATGTGAGGTTGGGGTAGGGGAAGGCCCACATAAACTGCTTCCACTTTAGGAAAATGAGCTCATGAATAACAAGTTCAGAACCCACTTCCCCCTTCCATTATAGGAAGCCCTTCGTCTTTGGAACCCCACTCCATTATAATAATCATAAAGATTTTTTTTGACTATACTCCCTCCCTCCGGTCCACAATAAGTGATTAATTTGCTTTTAGCACGTCCATTAAGAAAATACTAAATTCTCTCCAGAAATACCTAGTATGATTAAACTATCCTTAATTAAATATTTAATGTGAGGAGTAAGAAAACATTTTAGGGATATGTACATAAGGTTAATTTTGTAAAAACAAATTGAATTCATTCTTGATTGTATAAAGGGACACTTATTTTGAACCAAAATAAAAAAGAGATTTTTTCTTTCCTATACCATATATGAAACCTTATTACCAAAAATGTTCATAGTTTCTAATTTACCCGCTCTGTCCATATTTTTTCTACAGTTATTATACCAATCATTAAATACTAATTAATAGTAGCTGAATCTTCCTAATTTGTCGAGCTAAAATTGAGGAACAAAATAATCTAAAAAGATTTGACGTAAATCAGATCAAATCATATTCTTCCAGATATTCCTATTTAGGCGCGCTATAATTATGGAAGTAAATATTCTTCCAGATATTTTCCACCATTGATAGCCATTAAAAAGCTTGAAAGCTTTGAATTCAAATTTGGGTTTTCGAAAATCATTATTTGTTTGGATTGGGTGTTGTTGAAAATAATCGGGAATATTGTTTGGAGTTTATATCTCAATTTTGAGGGTTTTGGTGAAGATTAGACTTGGTTTTGACTGAAATTCAGATTGAAACTCGAAGAAGAAGAAGAAGAAGAAGAAGAAGAAGAAGAAGAAGAAGAAGAAGAAGAAGAAGAAGACATATTGTAGAAATTGTAGATATTTTGTAGATAAATTGTAGATTATCTGTATTCTGATTGTAGATGCATTGTTTTCTGTTTTCACAAATCCAAAACGACTAAAACTTCTACAAAATCTTCTGCAAAAAATAGTCTACAATTTATCTACAATTTCTGCAATATGTCTTCTTCTTCTTCTTCTTCTTCTTCTTCTTCTTCTTCGAGTTTCAATCTAAATTTCAGTCAAAACCAAGTNTCAGTTCTAGCAAAAGCTTTGTTCGTCGACATTCTCTCTACATCTCTCTCTATTTCTCAATCGCAAATTTCAGTAATACAAAGCAAATGAAAAGAGAGCAGCAATTCCACCATTGACAGCCATTAAAAAGCTTGAAAGCTTTGAATTCAAATTTGGGTTTTCAAAAATCATTATTTGTTTGGATTGGGTGTTGTTGAAAATAATCGGGAATATTGTTTGGAGTTTATATCTCAATTTTGAGGGGTTTATATCGCAAATGCGAGCCTGGCATCGCAAATGCGAGGAAGAGTGAGTCTGCAGTGGGTCGCAAATGCGACCATTTGGCCGCAAATGCGAAGCTGGGCTGGTCGCAAATGCGACCTTTGGCTCGCAAATGCGAAGTCTAGATTTTTTGGACAGTGTTCGCAAATGCGAACATTTTCTCGCAATTCCCATAACAGGTCGGGGTCGCAATTGCGAACCCCAGTTCGCATTTCCCACATCTGCAACCTGCATTTTTCATACTTAGTCGATTTTAAGACATTTTTCACCCCATTTTCAAAACACAACTCCTTTGGGCGATTTTTTAAGAACCAACCTTCTTCCAAATCATTTGTAAGTTGATTTTTACTCGTTTCTTTCAATCATTAACATCATTTAACATGTTTTCAACTTGAAATCAAAGATTTTCATGGGAGAAATTGGGGGTTTTGGGTAGAACCTAGGTTTTTCTAAAANGGAGAATTTGGTTTCAGAAGATGGAAAATGGTAAAAAGAACGTGGGTATGGGTAAAACGTGGGTGGGACTGAGGGGTTAGGAGAGAGAAACGTGCAGATTACTTTAATTAAGGAGTAAAAAATGTACAATTATATCCTATTTAATTATGGTATAGAATTGGTAATTTGGTATACTAAGTGTAATTAAGTCAAACCTTAAACATTGAGGGTAATAAGGTTTCCTATGTGGCATAGGAATGTAAAAATCTCAATAAAAAAAGCAAATTGATCACTTATTATGGACCGAAGGAAGTATTTTCTTTGTCTCCTCATGATGAGTGTAATTATGATGGAAAACCTTTTTTAAAACAAAGTACGGACCATTTATTAGAGCAAGGATAGATTTGACAAAAAAAAAATAATAATGTCTTATTGGTTTTCTAATATATATGTATAGTTAGCTCACTCAAGCTACGCGGACAACTTTTTTAGGTTGATGACTTTTTGGAAGTGAAACACAAACCAGTAAAGGGTCAATTTTCCTGCTAAATACCATGAAATGTCCTTGAGGCATCAAATTACACTTTTTATCTATGCATTTCTAGGAATTCCTACCAAGCAGAAAAGAACTTCTTCACTTGTTTACACTTTCATTTACTACCTCTGCACATGAGCATCAAATGCCATGGCAATTTGGGTTAAACTTCAAGGCTCTTCATTCACGACTTATCTATATAGGAATTTTGAAATCTATATTTGGCTTATGATACCGTTTTACTCGATACTTCCTCCGATTTATAATAAATGACCTTTAGACCTTTTTATTTTGGTCCAAATAAGTGTTTTTTATATAATCAAGAACTTTAGTTTTTTCAAATATGTCCTTAAATACATATCCCAATGTGTCAAGTTAACGATATGTAAATTTTAATTAAGAGTAATTTAGTCAAAATATCTATTTTTTATATGGGGTGTGTCAAAGGTCAAAATATAACTTATTGTAAATTGGAGGGAGTATAAGACAATAATTAAGCTTCCAATTAACCAAATGTAAGAGTTTCCTTGCCTCACACATAATTGAAAATGAATACACAAGGCGAAAAAAGAATAGGGACAATCATCATTAACAAGAAGCCTCGACTCTCGAGAAGTTTTAGTGTGTGTCTCACACAACTTATATTAGTTGTGTGAGGCTCCTTTTTACTATAAAAAAAACAGTGTTTAGCGACGGCCGCATTCCCTCGCTAAATCAATGTTTTCCGTCGCTAAAGTTGTTTAGCGACGGAATAGCGACAGATTCAAGTTGGTCCCTAAAATCCTCGTTGCTAGGCTTATAGCGACAAAAAATACCAATCCGTCGCAGAATTAGCGACGGAGTAGCGACGACATATTTTTGTAGCAAAGTTTAGCGAGGGAAATATCCGTTGCTATAGAGCTTGTTTCTGTCGCTATTTTGTTGCCTTTCGTCGCTGCAATACATAATAAAATTCGTCGTTTGTTCTTATAGCGACGAAATTGTCCATCGCTAGCCGTGTTATAGCTAATTGTCCCTGCTTTTTGCAACAAAAACCTTTTGTCGCCAATTCGTCGCAAGATTTAATTTTACGCGATAATTTTAGCTACGGAACGTATCCATCGCTGATTTATTTTTACTATATTGCTGTTTTTTTAAAATTCTTTTTATTTATTATTTTAAATGTACTCTGTTCAAACATATTACATAAACTATTAAATACACTTAATAAAAAGTCACTGATATTAATATAAATTCAAAAAGGTCCAAAATATATAGCATAATACATATAACAGTATCATTAAGTACAAAAAATCCACAAGGACCAACAATAATGTCCAAACAAAGTAAGCTAACTACGCTAGGCTGGAGAGTTACGGTCATCATCAGAACCCAATGCATGAACATCATCAATGTTAGCACCAGTAGAAGATGTTGGAACTGTAGGTGTCATATCAGTATTTGGCTGATGCGAGGGTAAGGGAACTAATTCGCGTACCCGCTCAACGATTACAGGAACTATATGATCTGTCAGTGCAGGAATCAATCGCATCACTAACTCATCCAGATTCCCTGTCGGTGTTGATTGAGAATTTGGAGGTGTTGTTGACGATGTAGCATCAGATCCAAGAGAGCCATGAAGATTTGGCCCGTAGTAGCATTTTGCTTGCGATCCAAGACCATATACTCTTCTTTTCTTTTCTCCTCCCGCGGCTTGATAATATGTTTTACACTGATCAATATCAGATTGAGTTTGCATTTGTTGTTGTAATATCTCCTGATATTTTTCCTGTAGAAGAATTAATAATAACATTCAATTTACAAAATCAAAAAATTATATGAAAGTAAAGTCAATTAAAAAGTTATCTTACATGTACGATTCGGGATTTCTCAGCAACAAAAGATTTTCCATCATTACCATGTGTATGGACGTGCAAATGCAACTCATTTGGTGTTGGATCTCGACCCTTTTTAACAGCCTATACAAAAATTATTCAATTAAGAAGATAGAGAAACATAGAAACTAAAGTCAGTATCTATATATTCAATTATTCAAACTCATAGTTCTATTTTCCAGTTTAGACTAAAGTCAGTATCTATATATTGACTTCAAATTGGAGTGGAAATATAAAAACTAAATTATTCTTTAAATACCATTATCTGACATTTTCCAAAACCAAGATTTTAGTAGTTGCTTAGCTATTGGCTGAAGACAAAAGGCTTTTAAAATAAGCTGACTTAAGTGTTTCAACCAACTTAACAAGCAAATATAAAAGACAATGCAGAACTAATTTAAGAACATGAGTATCTACTCAACAACACACCTAATAGTATGAACTTTTCTTTCTCTATCTGAATCCATATTCACTGATAATAAAGCTTTCAATGTCAAACTCTGAGTATATGGAGAAGACTAAGACTAGAAATTGTAATGGAAAAGAAACAGCAGAGGTTTGTGATGATTGTTAATCGTTTCTACTAGATAATCTCTTCTGAAGTATATACTCCTGTTTTATTATTGAAAGATGGAAACTGTAGTTTCACTTATTAATTTTTACAAGTCCTAAATACATTATTGACAGAAACTAAAAGTTACAGTATGTCACAAAGTCACAACTCAATGCATATCACACTTTGGTTCTGTAAGAGAGATATCATAAATTAAAGCTAGAGATAATCCTTTTTAATTCATGGCTAAAATAGTGTATGCTAAATGAAATTGTTGAAGCAGTGAAAGACCTGGTACTTGAGCTTTTTCTTATGTTAGTACTTAGTATCATTCTTTCATTCCTTTGATCATCCCTTTAATCATGTAAATCACAAACTATATCATTTCTAAGGGGACATGTACTTTATCACGAACTTTACATCACTATGAAAAACTTGACAATTACCAAAAATAACCCCAAAGGAGGATGGCAATTCCTTATAATGTCTCCAGTTATGGACAACCCAAACCATAAATAAAATCACTCAACAACAACCCAGTCAAATTCAATAAGTTAATTCCCTCAATTCATGGCCAAACTGCGATGTCCGTTCAAGGGACCAAAGATAGTGGCCAAACTGCGATGTCCGTTCAAGAGCAAAAAAATCAGGCCAAACAGGCTATAAGCAGAAACCAAAACCAAAAAGAAGAAAAGAGGGAGACTAGTAGGAAATAAGTTACAATCTATCACATAACTTTGAAGTTTCTACAGTATATTAAATGACCATCCTTTACTGGTCACTCTTTGTCATAGTGGTCAAGGAAGTTTTCTTCACGCCATGAGGTCAAGAGTTTAAGGCTGGTAAGTCGGAAACAAAAAAAAATGACCATCCAAGACCAGGCCACAACTTTATGTCGATAAATTGCTTAATACTTCTCAATCAGACCAACTATTAATTTACCCGAGTTAGATCAGGTGCTTACATGGGAAGCATAATGAAACCCAAACGAAAACTCTAACCAAATGCACTTAAGTTCAACTATTTCTCCACCTAGATTACACCACAAGCTCTCAAAATTATGCAACAAAGATACAGAGACTTCCTTACAAAATCTAAAGCAAAACAAAAGAAGCTAAATGCTCATGTCGCTATCTCAATAATTTTTGATAACCAAGGGAAATTACAAAAGGGAAAAAAAAACACATAAACTAACATTCAATGCCACAGTTCAGCAAAAGGCTGGACCATATAAAGACTACAAGTACTTCAGATGATTCAGATAACATCCACACTTCTTAATTTTAGTAAATTCATCACAATTACCCCTACAAACAATGAAATTTAGCCATATGTCACTTGAGTCTGCTTATTGATATGCAAAATGGATAGAAACTTTAAAACAATTTAGTCCTTCAGTTCATTATTATAAAAAATTAAAGAAAAAAAAAACTTTTACCTAAAAACATCACAGAATAGCACGAAAACCCAATATAACAAATATTCAAATCTAACAGATTAATCTAAAGATCACCTTTTTAGCATACAATACAGCTAATACACGCTTAATTTTCTACGAGAATCAAACATAAAATCAATAAAAAGATATACAAATATTTTTGTAAGAAAAATCTCACCGGTCAATCGAATCAAAAGCTTTCCCTGATATTTTCGGAAAAAATTAAAACTCAAAACAATAACTTTTCTCCTTGCGCAAACAAAAACCAAACAATTTTCCAAAAGATAAACAAGTAGATCAGAAATTACATAAATCAGAATTAGAAGCTCCAACAAAAAGGAAAAAAAATCAGAAATGGCTAATAATGAAACTACCTTAAACCAAAAGAGATAATCGGAGAAATCCTTATCAAGGACATGCAATCCCTAAAATCAACGCACGACTTCGAGTTTTAGAATTCTACAAACACATGACTTCGAATTTCAGAGATCCGCAGCAAAAAATTGCAATTTCAAAGATTTTCTTCTATTTTTCAGATAGGTATAAAAAAAATCACTTTTTAACACAAGAAAATTAACGAGATTGTCAAAGATTTGACACTTAATTTGTCAAATATCAGAAGAAAGCAAGCTCATACCTCTGAGAACAAAACCCCTTCGCAAAAATAGGAAACCGTCGACTGAAAACCTACGCTGCTGAGGTCTCAGCCTTTGTTAGATTGATGTGATCAAAGTATTAGTTTAACATACATATAGAGCATAGTTTAACATATCACAGGACTGAAAACCTACGCTGATGACCGTCGACTGAAAAAATGGAGGTACTGAAGTCTGTGTTTGTGTCTTCGTTCAAGAGGAAGAGAAGAAATAGGAAGGAGAAATTAGGGTGTTTGTGCCCTTGGGAAGGTCTTTTACCTAGCTAGGGTAATTTAATTTTGGGGACGGAAATTGAAAGACGGAATAGCGACGGACCGAAATTCTGTCGCTAATAGTATTTAATGAAATTATATTTTAGGAAATTAGCGACGGAATATTTTGTCGCAGATAACTTTCGAATGCCTTGATAAGTAAATAAATTCTGCGACGGATTATTGGACGTTAAATCCGTCGCTAAGTTTCAATATTTTTTGTCGCCCAGAATTCGTCGCTAATTTTGTAGCTAAAATAAAGGCGCTAATATTTAGCGCCAATTTTAACGAGGAATTTAAGTTTTTGTCGCTAATCCGTCGCTATATTTGGTACAAATTATCTTCTAGCTTATTTGGCGACAAAATACAAATTTTGTCGCTAATCCGTCGTTATTTAGCTACGGAATATCGCTTGTCGCTAAATTCCGTCGTTAAACGCTGTTTTTTTTGTAGTGTTTTCTCTCACAAATTTGCGGACCTCAAATCTTATATTTCCGGCTCCACAAAATCTGGATCCATAAAATTTTGAGACTAAAAAGTTGCCTCATACAACTAGTGCCAGTTGTATGAGACACAAAATAAAATTTTCCTAGACTCTCGATCTCCTAGACTCCTACACAGAAGATTTATCGAACTTCAACAAAGAATTTTAATTACGTAATTGTTTTCATTTGATCTCCTCCTTGACAACTAAGTGACACGTTTGCTTACCCTAAAAGTAAAATAAACGAATAAACAAAATATTTACTTATTTTTGTTTTATTTTATTTATTTTAATAAAATAACCACAATTGACGCCTTGGTGCTTTTATTCCTTAAGAGCCCGTTTGGACATATGAAACATTTTACTTTTTCTCAAAAAAAATTTACTTTTTTTCGAAATCGGTGTTTTGCCATAAAATTTTAAATTTTTACGTGAAGATGAATTTTGGAATTTTTCGAAAATTTGAAAAACTCCAAAAAGCTATTTTTCAAAATTTTCACTCAGATCACTCACAAAACTTCAAAAACAACCCAAAGTTATATTCATGTCCAAACACAACTTTAATTTTCAAATACCATTTTCACTTGAAATTTTTTTACACTTTTCTCCGGAGTTTTACAATTCTTATGTCCAAACGCCCACTAAATCCCTTTTTTTTTTGGGTATGTGAGTGACAATATTGGGGTAAGGAAAGTGAAAGGCAGACGCTGAAAACGTGAGAGTGGTGAAGAGGGGAGGGACATATTAAATACGAGGTACACAGTCAGATGTTGGCATTGGCCATTGGTTACTTGAAGAGCAAAATGAGGCAAAGAGTGGCCCCTTTCAGTACTCTTGGATTGGACTATTGTGGAAAGTATTTCCTGTTTTTGCTATTATTCCACTTTCCTTTTCTGTAACCAAACCCCTCCACCCCCTCTGCCCTGGCCCTGGCTCACAAATCACAATAGTTCCCCTCCATCTTATTCCCAAAACAACCTCCTGTCCTCTCCCAATTTACTATTTCCACTTTATTATTATTATTATTATTATTATTATTATTATTATTATTATTTTATAGAAGTTATGTACTCCTACAATACTATTAATGAAAACCATTCTTTGTAAATCATAATTTTATTCTTAAAGATATTTGGAATTTTTTTGAAAATGTTCATGATCAAAGGCAAAAAATTGCCTCACTCGTACATAATTACGAGCAAATAAATCAAGACAGAACATACAGCAGAATGGGTGCAAATCAACATCTTTTAACAAATATATTATTCCACTGGTACTAGTGAAGTAAATACCAATGCTAAAAAGGATTCTTAACTCCCGTTTGACCATAGATTTTGGTTATATTTTTACAAAAAAAAAAAATAGAAAACATTGTTATTTTATAAAATATGATCATGTTTTGGGAGAAAAAATTCCAAAAATTTCCAAGTTCCCAAACCAGTTTTTGGGTGAAATATTTTCTTCCATTCAAAAATTTTAACTTTTCTTCAAATAAAATGTATGTCCAAAATACAATTTTAACTTTCAAAAATTATTTTTCAACACAACTTCGAAAACTCTTTTTTCAAGTTTCAATCAAATCTATGTCCAAATGTTAGCTTAGAAACTCAGTTGATTGGCTACTTGAATTTTCGCCTTAATGGTGAGGGTTTCATTCCCCACTTTGCAATTTCCTCCCCATTTTACTTCCCCTACCCTTATGCAGGGCCGGAGGCACAAGCCAAGTTACGGGTTCGGCTGAACTCAGTAACTTTTGCTTAAGCAATGTATTTGATGTTTAAAATTCATTAAGTATGTAAAAATATAAAATTTAAAACCTAGTCACTAACACTTCAAATCATCATTCTAAAATGAGAAGCCACAAGGTTGAAATCCCCTCAACCAATACTCCCTCTGTTCCAATTTATGTGAATCTGTTTGATTGGGCACGGAGTTTAAGAAAAAATGAAGACTTTTAGAATTTGTGGTCCTAAACAAGTCGAAAAGGAGCCGAGAGTATTTGTGTGGTTATAAACGATTCTCATTAAGAGTAGAATTGTAAGTTTAAGCTAAATTGTTACCAAATTTAGAAAGGGATCATCCTTT